AAGGACGTGGAGGGCTTCTTCTGGGGCAGCAGGAAGCAGGGCTGAGGGGGCTGTGGCTTCAGAGTCAGAGGCAGGGGCAGGGCACAGGCATATCGCTGCCCTCCTCTCAATCATATCTACCACATCTACAAGTGTCCTCTTTTTGGAAACTGGAAATATGGTAACCTTAGATTACCCCCAAGTTTGCTGCTCTCTGGGAGATGCAGACTCCTTGCAGGGGTGGAGGGGATTTCCTCCCCATCAAGACCTGCCCACAGGTTTTGGGGGCCCCCTGCAAGATATAGTTTTGGGGCTCACTGGCGTCAAGAAACCGGTGGTGGTGTCAGCAACAGGGGTGATGGGAGGTGGCGAACAGCCAAAGAAGCTGGCAGCAGAGTGGGGCAAGAGGCTGAAGAAGCTGGTGGTGGCATCGGTGGCGGAGGGTGGGGGGGTGGCAGCAAGCGGCCGGATGCAAAGCTGGTGGCAGCAACATGGAGTGGTGGCAACTGCTCACCCTCCCTTGCTACGGCACTGATTTGGGGTGTTCACAGCTTCAGGGTGCCCCTTGGCTGTGGGGTCCCCTGCGGCTGCAGGTCCTGCAGGATAGGGCAGGCCAGCCCTGCTGCCCTTGCTTGCCATAGCCCTGGAGTCACTCACTCTGCCTGGCAGAAGCAGTCATACATGCAGGTATCTGGGGACACCCTGCCCATCCACAGGCAGCCCAGGTCTCCTGGGCAGCAGCAAGCGGAGGGGTGGGGGGCAATTCCCCCTGTGTTTGCTGCTTTCTCTGCAGCTGGGTGGGGTATCCCTGCACTTGTTCAGGAAGGATGGAGTAGGATCCTCTCACTTTGCCTGGCTCAGGGGGTGAACTCTGCAGAAAAAAAAGGACCAGATCCTTCAGAGCTCAGGCAGCGTCTAGCAGGCCAGGAGCTCAGCCCCCCACACTGCTGGCAGCTGGGTTCCTGGCCTGCCGGGCACTGCCTGAGCTCTGAGGGGGCCAGTCCTTTCTTTCTCTGGAGCTCATCCCAGGTGCTGCGGAGAGCAGGAGCAGAGCAGGTCCAAGTGGCAGTGGGAGGCACCCCCAGGTGGTCCAGGGCTGCTTCTGCCCAATGTCCCTGCGGGGGCGAGGTGCCATGGCTGGCCCTGCTGTGCCCTAGTGTCCCTGCTCACCCTTAGGAGGTGCCACTGCATTCTGGGACACTGGAGGATTTCAACTTGGGTAGAATCACTGTAGGAAGTGGTACCATACAGTAATGGAACAGGAAGAAAATTAGGCGGATTGGAGATAATCCTGCCCTGGAGTGGTATAACTTTAAGCCAAATAATGAGCGCTTTAACGCGCTTAAAAAGTGTTAATTTGCAGCCAGTCCATGAATTAAGAGCTCCAGGAGCCACCTAAAGTTACTATGTAACAAGGCCCTAGTCACCAACTGTTCATTTATGAGGTACCACTGTAGCAAGGGGAGATTTGGAATAAAAATCTTCAAAATTGAAGTTACGACGTAGGCACTTCTCACTGTTTTATCCATGATTTCTCTTCATCCCATATTATGGGGTCCATCTTGACACTGTTGATTAACCAGCATTAGTGTCTTTAGGTTGATAAATGAGGATGCAATCTAGACCCAAACTTCACCAAAGGCATAGGTGCTGTGAGCAAGATTTTTTTAATTTCCTTATTCTTCTGGACCAGCAGCAAGGTCTTGGTCTGGATTTGTACAACAAAGCTTTGAGGCAGAGTTTTATTTCAGGCCCATCTTTAGAGCTAGGAGGAGCTTTCTCTGAGAAAGGGGCTGCCTGGCTAGGGCAACTTACAAACATATCAAGCAAACTGAAAACATCTGGTTGCTTTTTATGGTCTGTTTGCCAGATGCTTATTATTTTTATTTAAACAAAGGGCTTTGCTTCTTTCTGGCTCATCTGCTTTTCCTACTTTGCACTGCTGGGAAGTTACAATAATTCAGATTTTTCATTTCAGTCTAACATTGTTTCATGGTACCAAACAATAATGCAGAAAAAACCCACGTATATGCATTTGCTCATGTCATTGTAGTGCTCAAGCAGAACATTCAAACAGACATCCATCCTGATAGTCAAAGGAAAAGAGGTGTAGAACAGAGTGGTGGGATCTCAGTGATTCATTCTTGAAGGCTGATAAGAATATTCTGCTAGCAATTTGTTTGAAGGAAGAAATAGCTGTGTATGGCCATAAAGCCTGATCTTGAAAGCATGTGTGCTCAGGAGTAACTCTATTCTTCTTTTCCTTTGCTTTCCTTTTTTGTGTCCTTGTGTGACAAGGCATTTAGCAGAATTTGCAGATTCATTGGAATCTGACAAGGCTGCACTGTTAACGCTTCTGCTGTGGTTTTACTGTACTCCTTTACTTTACTTTACTTTACTTTACTTTACTCTACTTTACTCTACTTACAAACACTACTCCAAAGAGTACTTCATTGGAGTAAATGGGAATCATGGACATAAGTGCCTGCAGAGTCACAACAACAGTTTTGAAATACTTAGGGATCCTTTTATAATTACCAGCCCAGTACATCTCCACTCCTGAATGTTTTGGGAATACTTGTGTAAATGGATGTCTGGGTGCTGAAGGCCTTATTGATTACAGATGCTCTGAGCAGAGTTTCATGACAGTGTGGTGGATAGGGCCCTAACCATACCAAGGCAGGCAAGGTTCTTTGGGTAGATGTGATATCTTTTATTAAATGAGTGGTCACCAACCAGTGGACCTTGATCCACCAGTAGATCCCAGAGCCTCTTGCAGTAGATCTCTGAGCCTCTTGGAATTGATCCAAGGCTGGGGTGGGGAACTGAGTGCCTGTGTGCATGTACACGTGTGCCCCAGCCCAGCAGGTCAGTCCGTGGGGGAGGGAAGGGGTGGGGGCTAGATTGAATCCCCCACGGTGAGGGACAGTGTCACAGAGGCAGGAGTAATTTGAATGGGGACTTACCTGCTGAGGAGGCGTGCCCCCAAATAATTTTTTCTTCCTTTGCCTCAATCTGCTCCAGACCCTGCCTCTTCCCTCTCCACAGACTTACCTGCTGCTGGGGGGTGGGGGTGGCAGTGCATGGTAGGTTTTGGTTTGCTTTTAAATGCCAAAGGTGAACTCCTACTTAAAAAGGTTGGAGACCACTGGATTAGACCAACTGAGTTTATGTCCCCAAATAACCATACCAAGGCACTCACCCGACCTGGCTAACATGGCTTGAGTAGAACTGGTATTAGCAACCATAGAGAATATTTGAGAAATATCTCTAGTGTGGACAGAGTGCTAGGCTTGTATCTTATCTGCTACCCCACGCTGCCTCACAGCAAATCATGGAGAAATGCATATTCCAAAGACAAGTGAGATCAAGAGGCCCTAAATATTGAGGATTATGACAGCTACAACAGCTGGTTGTAAATAAAGCCAGAATAGACAGAGGTGAGCACGTTGCAAATGATTTCTAACTTTGACTCATTTTTTCCTTCCATTTTCTATAAATAGTCCCCTTTTCAAGTAGTAGGAACAACAGGACTAAACTCTTGTGGTGAGCTCTCTCAGCTGCCACAACATCCATACCATGTTTTCATTCCTTTGTCTTTCCAATTTCTCCCTATTTAATGCAGCAACCTCATATGGTTTGGAGCTCAGAGCTGTGTCTGCCCTTTGAATTATGAAGCATTCTCTTATATTAGAAGGGTGCCTCAAACCAGGGTCTCTCAGTGGGAGGCTGATCCAGAGGTAACAGAATCAAATGGGAAAGTAAGCGTGGCATGGGCAAGGATATTTCCATTCATATTGTTTCTGTGAAACATTTTAACACAGCTACTGACTGTACTTTTATCATATGCCACTGTAGCAATGGGGGATTTGCAACAACCTGTAAAACCAAAAGAAAAATAAAAAATGTGGACATTAAACAAATAATTTTTATATCGGACAAATAATCAGCTAGAGAGAAAACAGGGAACTTTGAAATGAGGGCTGGGGAAAGCAGATACATGTGTTTTTTTGTGTTATGTTTTTCCAGCCATCATTTTAGTGTTATGCTTTTAGGTAGTTTTTGGCACTGTGCCCTGTCTAATTTTGAATTACTCAGGCAACAGTCTTTTGCCTCTTTTCTTGGGGATGTTGTTCCACAATTGGAGCCAGCCAGCATTTTTCAAATAAAAAGTTTATGCATCAAAAAGGGCAAACTGTTGTTTCACTTGAAAAAATTAATGATAATCATTCCAGTAGGAACAAAATGTTTTAAATTTATCAGACATTTATTAAATAAATGTAGTTATTGTTTGACAAAAATGTAACAAATTTAAGAAAACCCACACAAACAAAAAGGCTTCGAGTTTTTAATGAAATTAGTTTCTTATTTTTTGAGCAGCACTAGCTACATCCATAAAGATCCTATTTTCTTTCAAAACTCATTGAGACAGAAATCCAGTCTTCATATCCAGCTGGAAAACATCTAGTTTACAAAGCAAAAAGTGCATTAATAAACGACGAAATAAAAAAATGTTACTGTAAGGAGACTTCTCATGATACTGAACCTAAAGTTTCCTTTTATTTATTTCAAACCAACTGTTTATGCCTGCTGTACTATCTAAAATAGTCTTCTGCCTTGGGATTTACAGCATTTCATGCATTCGTGGACAGTTGTATTCCCTCAATTAATATCCTGTGCCTAACTAGGTCTTATATTTTCTTCTCAAGCAATTCAAAAAGATTTAGTAGTAGGGTGTAAAGATTTTATTTTCATTTCAGTTTCTTCTTTTGTCCATATGACTTCTATTTAAAGAAAAAAAGCCCCCAAAGTAGAAGATTCTATAAAAATGGCTGCAGACAATGGTTTTGCTGTATTGTTTGAATCCATGACTACATATTGTATAAAGTGTGTAATACTTTAAATTTATTAGTAGCCTATTACATTTAAAAAATTACAATACTTAACTCAGTTTCACAGATAAGTTAGAGCCATGTATAACTCACACTGCTGCTTCCAATGCTTCTTCAAAAGTAGACAGAAGTACTTTCCTGCTTATTTTGAAGTTAAGTATATGTTTGTGTCTTCGGAGTTGAAGTCAGCCAAAACCTTCTCCCAAAGGTTTATCCTCTCTTGGTTAAGCTTTTTCTTGTTGATGTGCCTAAAAATAACTGGAAGCAAGAACCCATCCTCCAAGGGTTGCTAATATGCAGGGATACATCCAATTCCACTTTTGGCACTTAAATGGCACGTAGGTAGCCATGATAACTGTAGTTTTTCGCATTCACACAATTAGTGATTCATTTTAGGTTGCACAAACTTACTGAGCTTGCTCAATAGGGCTGTCCTCTGCTCTGGCCCAGGTATGTATAAGGCCAAATAAGTTTTGAATTTTAGTCACTGAAGAAACACAACTAGCCAGTGATATATAGGAGAAGCAGGTGGGCCCTCTCAAGTTTCAGCCCAGTAGCCTAATGGTTAGAACACTTGCCAAGGGAGCAGTAGGGCCAGGTTTTGGATTCTCCTTCTCCCCAAAGGCAGCTTAAAGTGGGCTCACCTGCTTCCAGCAAAGTACTCTAACCCCCAGACCACACTACCCAGAGAGCCTTCCAGCCCTTCTCTTGAAGCTGGCCCACTGGGCACCCAAGAAAGACTTGTGGAGCCAAGAAAAAAAGTGAGGGGCTTTCTCCTCTGCTATATTTTTGTTGGGTATGTTAGATTCCCAAAGTGTGTTTATGTGCTGCAGCATCCTGTGTGCCTTGAGATGCTTTCAAGGGTGCTATAGGGTTCCATGCAATGTTAGCACTTCTATGTGTGCAGACATGACTCACATGATGAACCCAGAGATCTCAAATAGGAATCCATAGCATTAAACCATTCTGTCCTGTTGCTATCTTCCTGAGTTCTTTACAACAGAAGAATTGCTCTACTTTTTTCTGTATTTTTTTAATTTGGCCCATAGCTCCCATGAATGTTTGCGCACACTTTGCTCAGAGAGGGAAGAACAATACTTAACCTTTCCAGAGTGTGTTCATCCTAAAGTATCCCTGTGTGTTTTTTAGACTATTTCAGTCATGAGAAAATGTTCCTTGAAGTACAGCTACCTTGAGGATAAGAGAGAATACCCTTGCAGCGCCACATACCACACAGTCTGGTGTTCTCCGTGCCGCAAGGGCACACTGCCCAAGCATATGCTGAGCTGGGTTTTGTTTTCCATGTTTTTTTTGACCCTTGGATATCCAGGGGTCAAAAAAACCCCATGGAAAAAGAAAAATGGTGTAGCGCACGCTTGGGCAGCATGCACTGCTGAAAAGCGGAACCAGGCCACCTGGAGTCACACCTCAACTGTCTCTGAAGGTGAACTAGTTCCCCATTGAAGAACAGCATTATATGTCATCACCACAAGTGAGGTCTGTTCTTCCGTGTGTCTGGTCATGTTAGCTTGGTAAAATAAAAACTAAATCAGAGATGTCTTAGCGGTCAATTTAAGCTGAAAGTTAGCTCTTTTACTATCAGAGAAGTGACATTACGGACAGCCTTCCAGTAGGCTTTTTTTGCCTCTATAGCTCGTAAGGCATTTTAGATGCAACATGATTAGATTGGGAAGGAGATCAAGTGACATGCTACCTACAATAGCTAGGAACTGGACTCAGTGACCCAGGAGACTTTCCCTTCCTGCATTATTTTGTGCAAATGGTTAGGCAAAAACTTTAGAGCAAGCTTGTGTTTGTGATGTGTACCATGGGCCCCTTAATATCTACGGAGAATTTACAAGAGCTCAGGCCCCTGGCAGACTTTTTTTCCAACAGCCAACAAGTAATGTTCAGTTTAAAGCATGGTACAAATGAGCTACAAAGATAGTTTACACTTAAGAAATAATATCTTTGAGGCTGGATCACCACTTTTACAACTCATTTTTGGGTAATAAATTGCTTGAATGTGTGGCATGTTACAATGTATTGCTTCATTAATCACACTTTAAATGTAAGTGTCTTCTATGGGCCTCAGGTTCCAAAAGCTCTTTAGAAAGTCATCGTATATCCAACTGCAGACATCTCAGTTTATCCACTTGAGATTCACCTAACAATACAGGAGATTGCTTATTAAGATGCATTCTGGCAAATTCTCACAGGGCATTCATTCCTTTGCAGATGTCAGTGAGGCACTGAATGTGACAGTCTCACCAGGACCAACAGTGCAATACTTAGAGGGAGACAACGCTACCCTTTATTGTCATGTTTCTCAAAAGAGGAGGAAAGACAACTTACTGGCTGTCCGATGGGTCTTTGCACACTCACCTACACAGGAGCATCTGATGATCAAAATGACTAAATTTGGGGTTGTCCAGTACTATGGAAACTATACCTACCATTTCCACAAGAAAAGACTTCGCCTTCTCAAAGAAAGACATGGAACCATGTACAAATTCCTCATTCTGAATCTACAGCAAACAGATCAAGGACACTATATATGCAAAGTCCAGGAAATTGGCAAACATAAGAATAAATGGACGGCATGGTCAAATGGCACAGCAGCCACTGAAGTAAAAGGTGAGGATACATCTGATGTTACCAATCCCATTCCTAACTTTTCTCTTGCTCATTATCATTAGTTTGATTTTCTTTTCATACAAAATGAATCCAGATGACGTTCAAATTCAATGTTTATTTTTCAAAAATCATGTGAAAATAAGTTTGGTTGACTTCTCAAATAATTACAGCATTTCACAGCCTGAATGTTCCAGTCAGCACACAGTAAGCAAGTTTGAACATATGTAAAAGAAAAAAAATAGGTTTCTATTCCATCTCTTTGCTTCACATCCAAAGCTGTGGTAGCCAATAGCACTTTGCACTAAGTCAGCTAAAGGTCTCAAAGATTTTTTTTGGAAGAGAGCTAAGATTATTACCATTTAAATACAGAGAAATTTAGGCACAAACCAGTTATGACAGTGCTGTAGGCAGTGCCTAATCCAGGAATAGAAATCTGCTCCCTTGTGTCCCAGTTTTACCTCTAAAGATTTCTTGAAACCAGAATTTTCTCCCATGTATATGTATGTGCCTGTCTAGTACAAAGGCTACTGCCCATGCACAGTATATGCACATATGTTCACATGTCCACCCTGCATGGGAAGTAGAAGGTAACAGAATTGCAAACTGCGTAAGTGCCAAAAACGCTACATATGGGCTGGAAAATTGCTATCTGGATGCATGAAGGGTAACAGAATTATGCCCAGTTCACTGGGGATAGATAAGGAGTGAGCTTAAACTACAAGAAGAGAAGTGGAAGCTAGATATTAGAAAAGCTTTCTAATTTTAAGCAACAGGCTACATAGGGAGGTTGTGCAATGGCCATCTGAGACAGGGGGCCATCTCAGGGCTGGGTCTCAATGTCAGCCTGCCCACCTGTCTAGGGCAGTCTGCCCTGTCTTTCCTGCCATGATGTTGTGTAATAAACTGGATATTGAATGCAGGAGGCTGCCCATTAAATGCCCCAATGCCCGGGTGTTGTACATGGCTCCAACCTTCCCTATACCATGTCCCATGCCTCGCAGATGGCATCATAAGGTGGTAAATGCACCAGCCCAAGGCCAGACCAAACTCCTGCCCATTGTAGGGTCTCTAACATTCAAGTCTTAACAGTCTGCCCTTCACAGGGTCTCTTTCATACCACCCCCTCTCACAGAGCCTATTTCAATCTGCCCACTCTCCCTGGGCCTCACTCATACTGCCCATCACTGGGCCACTCAGCCCACCCTACTCTGCTTTCTTACTCTCACTCCAGCCAGCCCACATGCAGCCCATCAGGCTGCCGTCACACAGACCTTACTCTGTGTGGCCACTGGTCTTATGCCTCATACTGGGCTGAACTCAGCCACTGGCCCTTTTCTGGGCCATTCCCTTAAGTTTACATTCTTATGGGGGTTGGCCCATGTGCTGCCCTTTAGGCCACCTCTGCAGCCCTACTCAACACACACCCTAGTGCAGCACTTCAGATCGCCCTTGCAGCCTTTCTCTACACCCTCATACATGGTCCTTCAGGCCGCCACCACACATCCTACTCTGTGCAGGCCCCCACACTTCTGCCCCCTCACTAGGGATGCTCTCTCTCTCTTCCCCCTCTCTGGGGCCTCCAGGTTCTTACACCCCTTGGGGCTCAGGTGTCTGTAGTTGTGGCTAGCCCCCCATGCCTGTCCCTGCTCTAAATTCCTCACTGAGTAGTGGAAGCTGGGGTTATAAGCTCCTACCCGCCTTCCACTGGGGAGGCAACTGGGCTGGCATTTCTGGGGAACAGCCCTGCCATGCGTAGTCCCAGCAGACCATCCTTTCCCAGCAGGGTGTAGTTTTTGGTCAGGCCCCAGGACCAGAAGCCTCCTGCCATCCCCATAGCTCCTACCCTTACCTCCAAGGATGTTCTGAGCAGTCGCTCAGCCAGGTGTTGTTCTTCCAGCTGCCAACAGCAGACTACTGGCTTAGCCCTGAGGGCCTGAGCTAAAATGGAGGCCGCTCGGCCTTCTCCTCCAATCCCTTGGTCCTCCTGCAGTCACCTGACTGCCTCATTAGGGCTGACCTGCACCTGTCAGCTGCCCTGCTGCCTGCTCTCAGTCCATTAAAGTGGCAGGCACCAAAGGTGCTCTGCCATACCATCATTGAAGGTTTTTAAGAGTCATTTAGATAAATACCTGACAAAAATGATTTGGGTACAACTGATTATGCATTGGGATAGGGAAATAGACTGCATGACTTTTCTAGGTACCTTCCAGCCCTATTTCCTATGAATGCCTGGGTGACCTATAGATTTGGCAATTCTGGCAGATCATCCACAGAAAAATGGATTGGAATAGAATTTTGGTTCAGGTGATGGAGAGTTTTTTTGAACTATCAATGCATGATTTACCACTGTGCTAGTGTATTTTTAATGAAGAAGTTATGCCAAATACTTAGGAAATCTTACACTGGTATTGCATCAGTGGAGCTCTGCTGACTTCACATTTCCTCCTGATTTATACTGTATCAGGCCCAAAGGTTTTATTTAGCTTATATCTTGTGACACAGGCCTTAAAGCAGGTTTCCCAATGTGCTAAACTTTATTGATCCAGTTAAGAAATGCAAAACTCTAATGCTCTTGGTTCCTCTTGTACCCAGAAGAACATATATCCACTTTCAGCTTCCTCTGTGCAAAATGAGGTGTATTTTCTACATAAGGGGACTTTTACCATCTTTAATTTTCCCTCAACCTGAAGAAGGGTGTGTGCGACCAAAAGCTTGCAAAGAAACATATTTTTCTGTGATTTCTTAGTTGGTCTAATAAAAGGTATCATCTCTGAACCAAGAGTTTTAAGCATGGCACCACAGCAATGTTGCCATATGGCAATGTGTAGATGCACCCAGCAGGGAGACAAATGAAGAGGTAAAAGATGATCTTTAGAAATCTGTGATCCCTCCCAATAACTTATAGATCTCAGAAGCTTTTGCATTACTGACATGAGAACAAAGATGTGAAAAATACATGATCAAAATAAGCAGCATCTGCATTTTACTCCATAACATTTAGATCTGTCTTGATTGAGTCATAGGATTAGAGTAATGCAATTAGCTGAAGTTCGTAGCAGCTATGGAAGACACTCCGCAGTTGAAGTTTAGTTTGGATCAGTAGCAAAGAGTATTTAACCTAAACCATCGGATAGTCATGAGTCTGCAAAATCTGGCTGGAAAGTCTCAGATTGCATAAGAGTTTTTCCATGCTCCCTCTTTGCAGTCAGCCAGAAGTATAAGAGAAGACCTTTTTGTAGAGAGAGACTGGTCTAAAATCTGAGATCCAGGCATCATTCATGCATTGTGGGGAATATTCAGATACAATTTTGAATCTGAACTTTACCCTGGGCTGTGTCTAGGCATCCTAAATCTTAATTCCCCCAGATTATGGAGAATTCAAAACAAGATCTGAATTTCTCTCTAAATTATAGCCAGATAGCTCAATGTTCTGGTATTTCTGCTTCAGAACCTGGTCAAAACCTGAAAGAAAGCACACATGATGCAGAAGGGGAATGGCAGGGGAAAAGATAGTTGCCTTTCCACAAGCGAGAGAGAAAACTCACACTTAGTTTGGGATAAGGACATGTGTTTTATTTTATCCCTGTTTTATAAATAGAGGCACCTGGAGGTGAAATTAATGATCTGGGGGTCACCTGGTCAGCCAGTGGTAGAACCAGGAAGAAAACTCAGGTGTCTGACTGCCAGCCCAGGGCCTATTAGGCTGCACTGCTCTCACAGAAAAGGCCCCAAGAAGTAGGGCTTCAAAGAAAATTCTCACGGCCTCAGTCCTGGATTTTGGATATGTTGAGTGGGAGCAGGTCTTATTTTTTCACAGCAGCCTTGACTATGAAATGGAGCCAGTGTTAATATACCCTGAATGCAATAAGGTGGTGACTGAGGGGGTGTTCTGATACCAGAATTGTGGGACAAAGGCAATGCTAGGTCTAGTCGCTAGGACCACTGGGACAGATTACCAGGGTTGAATGTCTGAGGCTCTAGAGATATGCAGTCCATCGGGGATTTGAGCAGGAAGTAGGCACCAGGGCTGTGCTGGGCCAGTAGGAAAGTAGTGAATGTGAATAGCTTTAGGAATCAGAATTCATGGCAGAGGTGATATCTTTTATTAGACCAACTAGCTATTTGCCAAAAAAAATCTTTATTTGCAAGCTTTTTGGTGCACTGACCCTTCTTCAGGCATTGGAGAATGCGAAGATTGTAAAACGTATCCTAGGTGGACATGAAAATTCATATTTCACAGGAGAACTGAAGGTATTATAATATCTCCTGGTTGGAATAGTTCATTTTGTACAAATTAGGCTCATGTAAAAGTTAGCTCTCATATAAAAGTTAACCTCAAAGTTGTCTGGTGGCAAGTGGATGTAGAATTATGTTTCCTTCTGGTTATGATGTTTTATATTTCACAGGAGAGCGAGAAGATACAGTGCTCTCCTAGGCAAAGAATTGCTCTTGTGTTGAGGTGTCACAGAGCTCTCTGACAATGCAAATTTAGCTTGAACAAAAAGCAGGAGCAAGGTGTTAGCTTTCAGGTTTCTAGGTGGTAGATTTTGCTTCTTTCTGAAACCTTGCTCCTGCTTTTGTTCAAGCTAGCTAAATTTGCATTTTTGTTCAAGCTAAATTTGCTGCAACTTTCCCCATACCTGACTGAGCATCTGCTGCCCAGCACATGTTCTGACAGCTTCCCCACACTGCCTGCTGCCCGGAGGGACATACTAGGTGCAGGAGGAGGAGGAGTTGCTCGAGGCAGGGGTTGTTGAGTGGTACCTGGTTGGCTGCAGCTGCCCTGGCAGCAGCTCCGTTGGGAAGCTGTGCACCCTAGCCAGGGCTGGGGGTAGGTATAGGTGAGAGCATGGCATGGGCTGCCTCGGGCCAGAGCGGGTGGGGCTGGGCCGCATGCTGAGCTTTGTGGGGGCAGTCACGGGTAAGATACAAACAGTTAGTGGGTGCCCAACCATGGGCCGGATCCAGTCAGTTGGCAGGCCAGATCTGGCCTGCGGGCTGTATTTTGCCCACCTTTATCATAGACCAGACTACTTTGTCCACCAGGCTAGCCTAGACAATCTGCTCTTGCCACCCCAGTGCCCCTGCCTCATCCAACTCTGCTTCTTCCCCCTACCTTCCTCACCATTTAGCCACCTTGGTGCCTAAATACTTTTAGTGCCTACATATTGTCACATGTTCTTCCTAACTATCACAGGTTATTCATTGCTTTTTCCAGCCTCTCTGGGTCAGGCAAACTAAAGACATTGCATCCTTGGTTTTTTGGAAAGGACTGATTAATTCACAGCTGTAGGAGGCAGGGGGCTGCTGCATGAGGCTCAGCCCACTTTTCTGCCCACAAAGAGGGAAGCCTAGGAGAGGGCAAGGGTTGCAGCAGCATGGGTTGCATGACTGAGCAAGGGAATAAACTCAGCTCAAAACCAGCATCTTATATAGTTTTACTTTTTCCAATAAATGCACAGTGTTCCAGATCAGGCTGTATCATTGATTTACAAGAAAAACAAGGTAAAAGAAGATTATTATACCAGAATTCCACCAGTGGTATTGTAATATTCTCCAACCCATTCATTATGCATCCTGAAATAGCGATCAGGATGTGGTTTCTCTACCCATAATAGGAGAGGGGATAATGGGATTGTAGCTATATGGAGCAAAGATGGGTTTCATCCTATTCCTTGTAAGTGCTAGAGTTAAGAAATATTTTCCTTTCCAGAAAGTCGGGCAGGGGGGAGGAGTTGAGCAGTGACTCTCCTTTCTTAGAGGGAGGCTGCAGTTCCAGTCTAGTTTTTAATCACCATTGGGAAATGTATTTTGCCTCCAAGCTTTTCAAATGGAGGGGATGATAAGGCATAGGGGGAAGTTTGCCTTTGCTAAGCCAGCCGATGGAATCTATAGCATAACACAGAATTTTCTTTTCTTAGACTTCCTGGCATGTAGAATTGGTCAAAACCTGTGATATAACCTTTTTTGACAGTGAATGCAGTTCTGTTGAAAATCAAAATGCTTTACTTTTGCCCGAGTTTTGAGGAAAAGAAGAAAAAAAATCTGACTGTCAAAACATCCCATTGCAATGTGTTCTGGAAAGAAAATGTTTTAAAATATCCATTTAATTTTTTTGACCTTTTGTATTTTACAATATTAGAAAAATAAACACTAGGCTGAAACAGCACATTTTGAGCAATCCAAAACAAATGTTCAGTGATCTTTTGAAGTGTCTGCATTTTATTATGATTTAGAATGAAGCCAACTTTGAAATCCTTCATCAGATGGAATGTGCATCATCTGCATAACCCTAGTGGCATGTTTTCTTAATTGAAAAAGGAAACAAAGGACCAGATCCTATTCCATTATTAGACAAATGCACTTAGGTATCCAAGTGCAATCCTGTTTCACCCTGCTTGAGTCCCTGAAAAATTCACTCAGTCAGTTCTGAGGCTGCACCAACCATTGGAGCACCTTTGATGTAGCAATAGCTTTCCTCCATTCTTCCCTGTCTTTTGCAATCCTTGTACAATCAGTCAATTTTAATCCAGTCCAGTCTTTGATGTTGATGGTCAAGCTTATCCTAGGTCTTCCTCTTCTTCATCCATTCACAGCACCCTGAAGGATGGTATTGGTAAGGGTGCCAGGCCCTCTTGTTACATATCCAAACCACTGCATCTTTCTTCTTATGATTTCGGATAAGGGTTTGTATTTGCCAACTTCTTGTCTGATTTGATCTTTCACAGATTAATTTCTTCTGTGTGCAGTATAGGATATGTGTAGAAGTCTACTGAATCACCACATTTCAAAGGTCTCAATTTGCTTTTCCACTGCTCTGGTAAGTGTCCAGGTCTCGCAGCCATAGAGAGTTGTTGAAATGACAACGGTATATACAGGTTTCCTTCTCTTTTTGCAGGTTCTGTATCTGTGAATTTGCTCTTACGCAATGACCCTTTTTATTAGGGCTGTGTGAAATTTTGCTGGCTGTTTTGTTTCAATGCTGTTTAAACTGGTATTGAGCTTGAAACAGCAAAATTGAAATTAAACAAAAGGCTTCAAAACAGCCTTAAAACAAAATGAGGACAGATGAAACGTTTTGAGTTTTGAAGCTCAGTTTGCTTGCAGCTAAAGAGAAACTAAGGAGAGGGAGGGGGAAGAGGAGGGAAGGACTATTCTGATATTGACTGTGTAGCGGGCCAGTGACTGTGATCCTTCCCTGAGGTCCTTTCCAATCCCAGTGCTCTGGGGGTGGGACAGCAAAATAGCATAAAAAGCATTGTTTGACCTGAGCTTTCTCTGTACCTTCACACTTACAGGTGACACAAGTTTTGCTCTGAACAGTTTGAGGTGCAGTTTCCCAGAAACCCCTGATCCTATCTCCTTGAAAGCTGGCAAGTTTTGAGGCCTCCCTGCAGTTTTCAGCCTGTTGTGCCTTAACACACACACAAAGTCACATGTCACAAGTTTTGCTTGTCAGCAGCTTGAGGTGCAGTTTCCCAGAAACCCCTGATCCTATCTCCTTGAAAGCTGGCAAGTTTTGAGGCCTCCCTGCAGTTTTCAGCCTGTTGTGCCTTAACACACACACGACATGAGTTTTGCTTTCAAGACTTTGAGGTACAGTTTCCCAGAAACCCCTACACCTATCTGCTTGAAACTTGGCAGACTTCATGGCTTCAGAAGGGGCTACCAGCTGTGCAAGTTTAATCTGAATCAGGCAAGAAATTACAAAGTTATAGGCAGTTTTGTGCTTCCCCATTATAGCCTATGGGCGAAACGTTGAAACAGCGTCGAAACAGCGAAACAGTTTTGACGAAATGAAATGGAGCAGTGCTTTTGAAATGAAATGAAACTAGAAATGAAACACCATCCTGGCAAAAAGGCAAAATGGAAGTCGAAACGAAACGTTGCTATTTTGCACAACCCTGCTTTTATACCCCAAATTTGTTATGTGCGAGGTAAATTAATTCTTATACATTTGGTGTGGTGGAAGCCCACAGTCAACTGCTTTGTGCGGTATGTTGTGAGAGTGATGCGCACCAAAATAGAGTCTCCTGTGTGGATCTGTGCTTTTTGCTCGTTGTCTGCAACACGTGTTTCTGTAGTTGCCATTCCCATTATGCTAGTGCCCTGTGCTTGTGTGTACTGTCTGCTGTTGGTGAGTACAAAAATTGTCTTGTAAAAGTGCTAGAAATTGGTCTGGAGGTTGGTACAATCGAGGTCTTGGAACATATCCCCATTTGTTATATTGTAAAGTGGGTTCTCTTCATGCAAATTCAAGTTATGCACCATTTTCCAGGAACTCATGTACAGCGTAAAGTGAGGGAAACCTGTAGTAGGTGAAGTTTTGTTTTCTTTGTGATGTTGCTGCTAGTCCTGATTTTCTTCAGCTTTGCTAGTTGTCCAGTGGCGATGGCTATTCTTGTTGTTACTTCCTTTTCTGATGTAGCATCTCTGTGATGGTTGCTCAAAGGTATTTAAAGTGTGTTATTTTTTCTAGCTTCTCATCACCAATTTTTACTGATGCATCATCATTGCTACTGGCTAATGTTATTATTACTTTGTTCTTCTCCACACTAATTTACATTCCATATCTCTGTGTAGTCTTACGGAGCCTTTCTGTTATTTCCTTCAGCTCTTCTGCATTTCAAGATACTAGATCAATGTAATGAGCAAAACGAAGGTTGTTAACTTCTTGTCCTCCAACTGACACTGTTCCAGTGAAGTTCTGTAAGGCAGGATTTCTGAACCTGTGGGTCACAACCCAAAAGTGAATCACAAAAATATATGAAAGGATCAGAAACACACTTTAAAAATGGATCAACAAATTTTAAAAATGGATTCTCCTTTAAAGGAGAAAAAGGAGGGAAACCATGGGTTTCCCATAGCAGGCTGGCAGAGTTCCAGCCTGCAAGGGGCTGCTTGGGGCTGAGGGAAGTGGGAGGAGGACGATCAGGCAGGGGGTGCCACTTGCATGTGCGCGCACACACACATGCACATAGCAGCCTGGCAGTGTGGAGAGCAGCTCCTGCAGCTTCCCGCAGGTAAGTCTATGGGGTGGAGGCAGGGAAAGGGCATAGACGATGCATCAGGGGGACAGGGAGGGCACAGAACACATGTTGGGGTGGTGAGTGGGGGCATGTGCCCCACCAGATTTGTGCACCCAAATCTGAGTCAATCTTAAGGGTAAAATGGTGATTTTTACAAAAGTAAATGTATTAATGGATTTTCAGGGACTTGAGCAGGGATCACACTTAGGTTCCTAAGTCCACTTAGGCTTTCAATAAGTGGAATAGAATCTGGCCCTCAGTGGTATTTGTTTATGGATCTGAATTTTCCAAGCAGCCCCTACCTTTGTAATAGGCTGAATCAAACCTCCGTGACCACAACTTCAGAGGTTCCAAATTGAAATCCAGGAATTTTTACATTTAGAATATTTCTGAGGCTGCAGGGAACACAGGTCTTAGTATGTAAAGGGTATGTCTGCATGAGATGCAGCAGCTTACTGTGGAGTAAATGGCTCTACTCATGAGTAATTTTTCTACATGCAAATAGCATACTTACTCGTGACTAGTAACTGCATGGTAGTGCATGTGTAGACACTGATCAGGAGCAAATTTGCTCCTGGACATCCCTGCCACTAGGGTGCCAACATCAGGCTAGCCCCAGAGCCCTGCGGCTGGGAGCCTCTCTTGCCCCAGGGCTGGGCTGGTCCTATGCCTGGCCTAGCACCAGGCCCTTAAGAGCCACTGTGGTCCCTGCTGGCCAGTGCGTCCCCCAGGACAGTCCAGAGGCCAGCTGCAGCAGCCTGCCTGCACCCCGACACCACTCCCTGGCACCACAGTACCATACAGCTGCCAGGCCACACCCTCCAGCTCCACAGGGTGCGGCAGGTACCTACCAGAGGTGTCAGCACCCAGGGCCACCTGCAGCCAGTTTCTGGCCACTGGGTCCAGCTCCAGCTGGTCTCAGGCTACCTGCAGCACCCTGCCTGGACCCTGGAGCAATTGCCTGGCACTGCCTCACTGCACAACTGCCAGTCCCATGCCATGCCCCTGCACTAGGCACTGCAGGTAGCTGCCCAGGCCCGGCAGCTCCGGGACTGCTGTGCGGAGGGCCAGCAAGCCGTTGAGGGAGACACACTGGTGTTCTTCCCAACACCACATGCTGTCTCCTGGGGCCCCAGGTGGTCCAAGGAAGAGACTGTGGACCTGATTGTGCTTTGGGGCAAGGCTGAGGTCCTTACACAGTTTGTGTGGGGCAGGCACTCTAATGCTCACATTTACAAGGGGGTGTCAGGCTGCATGCGGAAGTGTGGGCATAACCAGTAGGCACACCAGTGTCACATAAAGGTCAAGGACTTGCAGGCACGGTGGGTCACAGTCACTGACCACCACCGCCTGTCAGGGGCTACCCACAAGTCCATACCCTTTGTGCAACAACTGATTGATATCCTCATGCCCCAAGACTCTTGCCAGAAGCTGTGACATCTATTCAAGCACAGGCAGCCTACCCAAGCCTCTGCTGTGGCCTGGCTTCCACAGTGATATGACAGGGGAAGGCCCCTCAGCCTACCAAGAGCCCATCCCACTGAGCTCCCCACCCATAGCGACCAGCAGCTCTGGGAGCCCTGGCCAGTGCCTGGTCCACCAGCTCCATGGGATCAGCCTTGCCCATGAGGCCAGGCCATCCATGGCACTGCCAGCCACCTGCAACTCCAGCTCCTCCATGGAGGGGACCCCTGCCTGGGCATCCGGATACTGCCCCCCTGCACCCCAGGACACCACTGGGAGCCTCACGCCCTTACCGCCAGAGACCACTGACCTGGGCATGACAACCCTGTCCACATGGTAAGCCCCACGCTGTGGGGAGGGCCTTCCCTACCCTGGCCATTGCCCCACCTTCCCATCCAGCCAAGCTGTGCCCTCCCCTGGCCCTGGGCACCCCCTGCCCCGCAACATTCAGGGAGGTGGGAGACCATGCAAAACTTTATTGAGCAGCCTGTGCCTCCACTGCTAGGTAGACATGGGCCTCTCACATGCTGAGGAACATGTCAATGTAGGTGGCAATGTCCCCCTTGGCTGTGGGGGGTAGGGCAAGGTAGTGGAGCCACAGGTAGCCCTCCAGGTGGTGGCAGAAGTTGCAGGGCAGGACAGACAGTGCACGGCTCCTGGTACAGAGCATCTTATCTCAGAAATATCTCAAACTCTCACAAACAGCCTCTTTCTTCTGGCTCTGCAGGTCCTGCGGTTGCATGTAGGAGAGAGGCATCTTTGGGCAGGTGGGATGGTGGCTCAGGGTCACTGCCAGCCTCAGGTGGGGCCCTGTGGATGCGGTGGCTCAGGCAGCAGAGAACCTAGGACCCCTCCCTCCTGCTGGATTGCCTGGTCATAGCGTCCGAGGAGCACCTGGTGGACTTGTGGGTTTTGCTGGGAGAGGATGTTACCTGGCAGGATGCTTGGTGGGTGGAGGCTGTCACCCACAAGAAGGCATGGGACTGGTAGCAGGACCTGGCAGATCAGGAGTTCTGAGAGAGGTTTCTGGCCCTGGAGGAGCAGGCTGTCCTAGTGGCCAGGGTGGAGGCCACGGAGGAGGACCACCAGGTGCTGGACACAGTCCTGGTCCTGGTGGATGCCTTTGTGCTGCCTGCTGCCCAGCCCCCGGCTGGAGCCCCACCTGCTCCTTGGCAGCCACCCACTACCAAGCAGCAGGCTCCCCCGTGCCCGCCCCCCATGGGCCTGGTCCTGGGGTGGGCCTCCAGTGCTGCCTCCACCAGCCAGGAGCCCCTGCCCTGGCTCTATAAGGTTCCCTGCCACCCAGCCCCTCGGCCTGAACCCAGCCCTATCACTCGCCCCAGCTTCATGTGGCTGTGGAGCAGGAGCAGGACCAACACCATGCATGGGCTCTGCTGCCCTGGTCATTGGCTGCAGGAGGCAGATCCAGCCACATGAGGTGAGCAGCGC